ATGGTACAGGCAACGTGAAGAGGAACCGAGCAAAACCCACTCAACTGGCTACGGCCTCTTGCTTGTCCCTCGTGCCCTCCGTTCCACCAACGGCGGCCGCACATTCAGCCGCTACACCCCGAAGCTCTGTCACCCTCTCCCTCTATCCCTCCCTCCCCCTTACCCCCTTCTCCCCCATTTTCAGATTGCGCCTGAAGAAATCTCGGAAACCTCTCTCTCTCTCTCTCTCTCCTTCGCTGAACGATGCGATAACCATTTTGTGTGTGTGTGTGTGTGTGGAGGGATTATTACCCCCTGGAAAGCTGTCTCTCATGTTGGGGCGGTTATTATTTTAGCAGAATATTTGGGACGTTTATTCATTTGGATCATTTGGTTCCACCAGCAGGTGGTGCCACTGAGCTGCTCTGCTGTTGATAATAATACTTATTATTATTATTAATTATTTTTATTATAATAATAATTATTACAATAATAATCCTTACATTATATAACAATCCTTATGTTATATTTGACCCAGCGCCTCACCACGTCTTTGAGACGTCTCAAAGCGCTTCACAGAATATATATACTGTAAAGTGTAGTGACTGTGTATCTTGTGGGTGAAATGCGGCAGCACAGCAGCGTCCCCACAAACAGCCGTGGATTCAGTGACCAGTTTATTTTTACTTTTATTTTTTGAAAAGGGAATGCCAATCGACTAACAGCCGGGTTCCTACTCACTACCTCGGTAACCAGGCGCGTGGAGTAAGGACACTTACCTAAGGTTTGGTACACCGCAGGACTCCACAGGGAATAGTGAGGAGACAAGGAATAGTGAGGAGGACGGCAATAGATTAGCCTGATGGGCTGAACGGTGACAGATGAAGTTTAGTGAAGCAAATTGGGATTTCTGACACTGAAACGTGTTGGGTTTGGATCGCTCCGAGAGATTGTTCCTACCTGAGTCTGCTCGATGTGTGTGACTGCGTCATGTACTGTGACAAAGATCTGCTGGGGGCTGAGGTGCTCCAGGAGCCCGCTGTGTGTTAATATCCTCAATACACCACCTGGGAAAGACACATAGGGAGAGAGGGGTGAGGACATCACACACACACACACACGCAGCGGCAGCAACAACAACAACACATGACATTTACACCGCACCTTTCATGTCAGGAGGACGTCCCAAGGGGCGCTGGACAGCCGGGATTTGGACCCGAGCTGGGGGTTGGAATCAGGAGGGTTGGAGGGTAGGGAGAGTGGGGGTATGAGGGTGACCGAAGGTACGGTTGAAGAGGAGGGCTTTTGTGGATGATTATTATATCATTTTGTCCACAAAGTATACATTCAATTCACTTTACAGTGTAACCTGTGAAGCGCTTTGAGACATCTCCAAGAAGTGATCAGGCGCATTATCAGCTGAAAGGATTATTATTACTATATTCTTTGAAGTCTCTTCACTTGATACTCACTGTTACACTGGGCTAAGTAGACAGAGGTTCCTCCTTTCTGACACTCTGTACACATCTACAACACAAGACCAATTGTTAGGACTGAGGACCACAGACAGACGGTGGAAAGTGTTGATTCTTTCAAAAGCGAATGAGGTGGATAGGGTGACAGATCAATAACCAGCTCTGAATCACAACATGAAAATAATAATTAATAACAATAAGTAATAATAATGCTTACGTTTGATATAGCACCTTATCAGGTCATTGAGATGTCTCAAAGTGCTTCACAGATAATACTGTAAAGTGTAGTGAACGTGTATTTTGTGGGCGAAATGCAGCAGCCAATCCTTATAAGGAAATGTTGAACAAGTTTGGACTCTTCTCTTGAAAAGAGAAGTATGAATGGTGACCTAATAGAAGTCTTTAAGATGATGAAAGGTTTTGATAGAGTAGCCATAGAGAAGGTAGTTCCACTTGTGGGAAACCAGTGCCATCAATATAGTCGCTAATAAATCAACAACAACACAACAACAACTTGGATTTATATAGCCTCTGTATCCTTTCTGAAATATGGGGACCAGAACTGTACATTCAGCAAGTTTATTAACGTCTTGTAATTTGTTCCAGTCCTCCTCAGTATTAACTACACCCTCCCACCCCCGCCCTCCCCTCCACACCCCCAATTTGGTGTCAGCCGCAAATTTTGAAATTGTACTTTCGATCCCGGAATCCAAATCGCGAATGTAAATTGTGAACCAAGTGGGTCCCAAATACCGATCCTTGTGGAACATCACCGCCCCCTCTGCCAGTCTGAGCCGCTGCGCTGTACCCCTACCCTCTGTTTTCTGTTCTCTTGCTAGACCCTGCTGCTCGGGTCATTCTGCCATCATTCTCGGGTCTGAAATGCTGTGACTGTCCAGCGCTTTGGGATGTCCTCCCGATGTGAAAGGCGCTATACAAATGTAATCTTGTTGGCGTTGTTCTCCCCTGACTCCACACGCTCTGACCTTATTCCTCAGTACAATATAAGCGGTGCCTTATCGAACGGCTTTTGGAAATCCAAATATATTCCATATGTACTGCATACTCCCCTTGTCTAGTCTTTCCGTGACCTCTTGAAATAATTCAGTGGCTGTTCGAGCATCACCTTCCTGTTTGAAATCCGTGCTGATTGCGTGTGGAGTAAGGAAACTTGCCGAAGGTTTCGCTTTGAGCCGCCCGGGAATCGAACCTGGGGCCTCTCGCTTGCGAGGCGAGGGCTCTAACCCCCACACAAACCTCAAAGTGGATGGTAAAAGATCCCGCACTCGGGAAAGAGAAGGGAGTTTCTCCCAACGCAGTGTGAAGTGGGAGGATTAATATTATTGTAATTGTTGTTATAAATACCTGAACGAACAGCCTCGCTCCAGCTGCATCGATGAAGATGACGCCACTGCAGTCGATCACCACTGCCTGAATGGTCCTGAGCTGAGATGCTGAGAACGCGAGACACAGGTTAACAACTGGAAGATGTGGAGTGTTAGAGAACCCCCACCCGCCCCCTCAATGGCACTTGTTGTTGTTGTATCATAGTCCCTCATTCTGTATATTTTCCCACCCTTTGGAACTCCATCCCACAGTCCCTCCACATCGCTCCCTCTCTCTCGCCTCCTTCAAGGCACGTCTCAAGACCCTCCTTTTGGACTGTGCCTGTGGCCACCCTCCTACCCTCCCCGCCCTCTACCACCTCCCGATCCCAACCCCTGACTGTCCAGCGCCTTGGGACGTCCTCCTGACGTGTAAATATCATGTGTTGTTGTTCAAGGTCTGTCTCAAGACCTTCCTTTTTGACCGCACTTTGAGCCCAGCCTCACCCCCAACACTGACTCCAGGTCACACCGCAGAGGGACAACCTACTGTACCTGAGAGGGTTCCAGACCTGTGTGGTGAGGAGCCAGGATTAACGACCCCATTTTCCTGCAAGAAACAAAGTTACAGTGACATATGTAATATTTGGAGTTTCTATGATGTGTGTGAGTGTGAGGAGAGGACTCAGTGATGGCCCCCGAGATCGAGGGGGTGAATGGCCTCCTCCTGTTGCTAGGTTGTTGTAGGGGGAGCTGTTATGGAGGGAGCTGTTATGGGGGCTGTTGTGGGGGGTGGGGGCTGTTGTGGGGGGTGGGCGCTGTTATGGGGGGAGCTGTTATGGGGGGAGCTGTTGTGGGGGCTGTTGTGGGGGGTCTGTTGTAGGGGAGGGGGGCTTTCATGGGGGGCTGCTGTAGGGGGGCTGTTATGGGGAGGGTTGGGATACAGAATAAGTTTGGCACAGGGTGAAGTGGATGTACTACGGTGATGATGTCTGACTGCTTGCTGTTCTCTGTGACCCTCTGGGTGTCTTGTCCCTCGAGGACCTTGTCCTGGTTCAGCCCCAGGAGACGTGTCAGGGCGCTTCGGAAGAAGCTCTTATTGCCGTAGTAGATGGGAGCGTTATACGCCAAGATCTTCACCCCCGAGATTTCGAGGCACTGCGATAATTGTACAATGAATAAAATATAATGTATAATTTCGCGCACACAAAATCCACAGTCAATTCACTCTGCAGTGTAACCTGTGAAGCGCTTTGGGACATCTCGAAGATGTGATGAGGCGCTGTGTCAATATATTATAATATAGAATAATAACATTTAATAAAAATATATATATAATAATAATAACAATAATAATAATCCTTGCATTTGATATAGAGTCTTATTACGTTGTTGAGGCATCTCAGTGTGTGTGTGTGTGGGGGGGGGGGGGGGCAGTGTGTGTTTGTGTGTAAGGGTTAGTGTGTGGGTGAGCGTCAGGGTTAGTGTGTGGGTGAGTGTCAGGGTTAGTGTGAGGGGTATCTCTGCCCCTGACCCTGGCTGTTAGCCTACCTTGCTGTTCCCGCCCACTGGTCTGTATATCTCTGTGTTGGATGCCCTGCCCAGCACGGAGCAGGTGGCCCTGCAAATAATAATAATAATCATCATCAGAACAATAATTCCTGCATTTGCTACAGCGCCCGATCACGCTGTTTGTTGCGAGGTCCCAAAGCGCTTCACAGACCATTCTGTAAAGTGTAGTGACTGTGTGTTTTGTGGGTGAAACGCAGCAGCCAATTGCGCCCAGCGACGTCCCCACAAACAGCCGTGGATTGAGCGACCAATTTAGTATTTTTAACGGTATTATAACACCCGGAAAAGGGATCCGTCAATCAGTCGACTAACAAGCAGGTTCCTACTGACTGCCGGTAAACAGAGACGTGTGGAGTGAGGAAACTTGTCTAAGGTTTCGCTCCGGCCGGGAATCGAAACCAAGCATTAGTATTATTTATTTTATTTTTTGGAGATATTATTATTATTAATATTAATATTATTATCAATGACTTGACCACTCTACCTCTGAGTGCGACACACCACGGACATCATTGAGAAGACGATACCCACAGCAAGTCCCAGCTCAGCGTTCAGTGTGACCACAGCCACCCACGTCACCACCCAAACCATCTGAGAGACAAGACAAGGCAGGAAGGTCAGACCTGCAGCGTACAGACAACAACAGGGTGTCTGCACCCACTCTGGCCATCTGCTTATCTGCTGACAACAACACCTGACATTGACACGGTGCCTTTCATGTAGGGAGGACGTCCCAAGGCGCTGGACAGTCAGAGATTTGGGCCCGAGCTGGGGGTTGGGATCAGGAGGGGGTGGAGGGTGGGGAGGTTGGGGATAGGAGGGTGACCGAAGCCGCAGTCGAAGAGGAGGGTCTCGAGAAGGGCCTTGAAGGAGTCGAGGCAGGGGCGAGGCAGGGGTGAGGGTGGGATGGAGTGCCAGAAGGTGGGGGCAGAGAGGCAGAAGGCTCGCCCATCAATGGTCTCCTCCTCCTTACAGGCTCAAGGGGCTGAATGGCCACCTCCTGTTCCTATGTTCCTAGACCGGGAGCAGGGATTCTTCTTGATAAATTCCCCCCAAACTTTCCCAAACTTACGAAGTCCATCTTGCTGAGCCGCCAGAGCTCTGGGAGGTCTTGAAACTGTAGAAACATCTGGCGCAGACTGATGACATTGATACAGGCCAACACCGCCTGAGAGGAGAAGCCGGGTTAGGAACATTCAGCCCCTCCAGCCTGTTCCGCCATTGAATCTTTCGCTCCCAATTTATTCCCACCCCCATAAATCCCCAAATACCTCGACTTCCAATTATCTCATCCGGTGATGTTCAACCTTTACAGTGGTCCAACACGATTTTCTTTGATTGAATATTTCTTGACTTTATATATATATATACAGACACACATATTCGCGCACACGTGTATATATATATATATATAATGCTGTATTATTGTTGAATTATCCCAGGAACCTGTATCTCACTCACCTGTACAGAGAATAGTTTCCCTCTATCCATTGCCCCCTTACCCCTAATTTAACTTGTGGAACGGTTTCTGTTAGGAATTCGCTGCTCAGTTTGCTGTTTAGTTAGTTTTCTGAGGCTCAAAGTAAACTGAGATACACGTCACTGATGGTGCTTACCTTGGGCAGGAAGTGAAAGAGGGGCCCAACGAAAAGCAGGACAACCAGGACCACAGCACTGGTGAACAGCCCGGATAGCTGCCGTCAAACACACGGTACATTTAATAATGGTTAATAATAATCATTACTAATAATGATAATAATAATACTGGTGTCTCAAAGCGCTTCACACAATATACTGTAAAGTGTAGTGTCTATATATTGTGGGGAAACACAGCAGCCAATTGGATACGGGCAGACGATTGAGTGACCAAATTATCATTATGTAGGTAGGTATCATACCCTCACCTGTGCCACTCTCTCACCTGTGCCACTCTCTCACTTGTATGTCACTCTCTCACCTGTGCCACACTCTCACCAATGTCACTCTGTCACCTGTGCCACTCTCACCTGTATCTCACTCACCTGTGCCATTCTCTCACCTGTATGTAAGACTCTCACCTGTGTACACCCCCCAGCACTCTCCAGGATGTTGGTTGTGGCCAGTGACGCTGAGCTTGGGAAACAGGTAAAGAGGGAGGAAACCGTATTGGAAATGCCATGAGCCAAGAGCTCCTGGAGACGGTGAGAGAGAGAGATGGTTAGTGATGGCCACTTACATACACAATAGACCCCTACCCCACCGTCCCCCCACCATCCCCTGTGGTTGGTGTGCCTTACAGCGCCTTGGGATGTCCCCCTGACCTGAAAGCCGCTACACAAATGTAATTTGTTGTTGTTGTTGACTCACGGACCTGGTTGGGGTTGATGGTATAGTGATGCTTTTCTGCGTAGATCATGGCCAGGGAGACAGACACGGCATAGCCCACAAAGGTAATGGGCAGCGTGTCCCACACCAGGGCTGGGATACTGTGCACAGCCGGCAACTGGGGGTCAGGAAACCTGGAACACACCAGAGAGGAGAGGAGTTTGGACACAAGAACATAAGAATTGCCAGACAATCTTGTTTGGGGGGAAGGTTTCCCACAAACAGCCGTGGATTGACCACACTAACATTTTTATCTATTTTTTGAAGGGATTATTATTCCCCCCCGGAAAAGCGATCAGCCAATCGATTAACAACCAGGTTCCTCCTTACTGCTGGTCAACAGAGGTGTATGTGTGTGTGTGTGGAGTAAGGAAACTTGCCTAAGGTTTCGCCCTGACCTGACCCGCCCGGGAATCGAACCCGGGTCCTCTGGCTGGCGAGGCGAGGGCTCTAAGCCCTGAGCTACAGGGACTCCACCAAAGAATTGACCTAATCTTGGGCATCCCTTTCCTGGCCAAACCCATCCCCGCCCTACCCTCGATCCGGCCTGTACCTTGATTCTCGTCCCCGGCCAATCCTGTCCAAACCCGACCCCCTTTCCCACCCGATCCCGATCCCGTCCTCACCCGCTCCCCGGTCCTGACCTTACCCAGCCGGGATCTCACCAACCACCTGGATGCTGTATGTCTGGTCCAGTGATGTGGCGAAGGAGATGCCAGTGGCTATCATCACCTGGTGTCACAACAACAACAACAACCACAACAAGAGGTTACATTTACACAGATTCCATCACATCAGGAGGACCTCCCAAGGCCCTGAACAGTCAGGGATCCTCACCCAAGCTGGGGGTTGGAATCAGGAGGGGGGGAAGGGCGGCGAGGGTAAGGGGGTAGGACCTACCCTCCGCCCCCTCCTGAACAACAACAATTACACAGCGCCCTTCATGTGGGGAAGCGTCTCAGAGAGCTTAACAATGGCGGAGCCCGGGGAACGGAGGGAGGAGGTGACCGTAGGTATGGTGAAGAGGAAGGTCTTCAAGTGCGGGCTAAAAGAGTGGAGGGGGTGCGAGGCGGAGGGATTGAGGGAGGAGTTAGCTTGCGAGGCGAGCGCACTAACCACTAAGCTACAGGACAACAACAACTTGCATTACGCAGTGCCCTTCACGCGGGTTGGTGGGGTGGGAGGTAGCGTCCTGGGGCGCTTGACCATTGACCCGGGTGGGGCTGACCACAGGGTCAGGGATATCCACTCACCATGATGATTTCGATGGGAATGGGGATGCGGAGTTTGCGTCTGAAGCGACTGTTGATCTCCTTGGTTGGGATGAGGACACTGAGACACACCACAGAAATCACCAGCTCCGCAATGTTGGTGCTGCCCAGAGCTCTGAAGATCGATCCCAGTGTCTGAAACACGTCAATAATAATAATAATGATGATCATTGCACCAACGGCAACGATGCCTACAGTGTGTTGTGCTCCGGGGTAAAGGGATCAGTCATTAATAATAATAACAATATATAATATAATATTTAATAATAATAATACTAATCCTGGGTTCAATCCTTGGGCAGCGCAAAACCTTAGACAAGTTTCCTTACTCTACACGCCTCTGTTTACCAGGCAGTAAGTAGGAACCCAGTTGGTAGCCGCTTTACGGGGGGTAATAATTCCTTTAAAAATAATAATTTTGGTCTCTCAAACCAGGACTGTTTGTGGGGACGTCGCTGGGCGCAATTGGCTGCTGCGTTTCGCCCACAAAAATACGCAGTCACTACACTTTACAGCACAATCTGTGAAGCGTTTTGAGACGTCTCAACGACCTGATAAGGCTCTGCGTCAAATGCCAGGATCATTAATATATTATTATACAATATTACATAAATGCAAGTTGTTATATAGGGATATAGGAACAGGAGTAGGCCATTCAGCCCATCCAGGCTGTTCCACCATTCTGTTAGATCCTGGCTGATGATGATGATGATGATGATGATGATGATGATGGACCGGGCTGGGGTTGACCCTGACCTTGAAGATGGTGGACAGCCCTGTGAAGCGAGGCAGCCTGAGGCCCAGCATGGTGCTGAGCTGGGACACGGTGACGTGGAACGCTGCTCCACTCGTGAAGGCCTTCACGATGGGGTCGGACAGGTAGGTGGACAGGACCCCCAGCTGGAGAACAAACATGGCGATCTGGAACAGAGCGAGCGAGAGAGAGAGAGAGAGAGAGAGAATAATAACAGCTTCCATTCACACGGTGCCTTTCACGTCAGGAGGACGTCCCAAGGCGCTGGACAGTCAGGGATTAATAATAATCTTTGCGTTACATACAGCGCCTCATCACGCCTTTGCGATGTCTCAAAGCGCCTCGCAGGCTGCACTGTAAAGTGTAGTGACTGTGTGTTTTGTGGGCAAAGCGCAGCAGCCCAATTGCGCCCAGCGGCGTCCCCACAAACAGTCATGGATTGAGTAACGGAATTATTATTGTTTTTAATATTTTATGTAAAGGATTATATACCCCCGGAAAGTGATCCCCCAATCGATTAACAACTGGGTTCCTACTGACTGCTGGTGAACAGGTGTGTGGTGCGTGTGTGTGTGTGTCTGTGTGTGTGGTGTCAGGGAACTTGCCTAAGGTCTCGCCCTGACCCGCCCAGGGGAACTGAAGCCGGGTCCTCTGGCTTGCGGATTTAACTCCTGAGCTACAGGAGGACGGAGTGGGAGGAATTACCATGATCAGCCCAGAGAGAAGGGTGACTGCAGAGGCCACCGCGATCCTCTGCTTCTCGATCTCTGCCTCTTGGATGTTTGTTATGTTCATTCCCATTGGCCGAGGGACAAGGGATTCCACCACAGACCCAGTCATTAGGCTAATGACAGCGAATGTACCTGGAGGCAAGAGAACAACAACAACAACGCATGACACGGACACAGCACTGGTCGCCTCAGGAGGACGTCCCAAGGCGCTGGATAGTCTGGGATCCGCACCCGAGCTGGGGGTTGGGATCGGGAGGGGGTGGGGAGGGTGGGGGTAGGAGGGTGACTGAAGGGGAGAGTCTTGGGGGAGAGTTTATTGCACTGAGAAATCATCATAATAATCATGATATTAATCCTGGCATTTGACCCGGCGCCCGATCACATCGTCGAGACGTCTCAAAGCGCTTCACGGGACACTCTGTCACATGTACTGACTGTGTATTTTTGTGGGCGAAACGCGGAAGCCAATTTGATGCCCAGCGACGGCCCACAAACAGTCGTGGATCGAGTGACCAATTTTTTTTAATTACCCTCCAGGAAAAGTGATCCGCCAGTTGATTAAGAGGTGGGTTCCTACTTACTGCTGGTAACCTGGGGCGTGAGTGTGTGTGTGTGTGGAGTAAGGAAACTAAGGTCAAACCCAGGTCCTCTGGCTTGCGAGGCGAGGGCTCTAACCCCTGAGCTACAGGGACTGGGTTTTTTTTAACCGTGTGCCAGTGGACTAACCTTAACTACCTGCTCCAGTCGTTAATTCCCCTCGGGCTCTGTTGGCTTCAGTCTTACCTGTGGAAACATGTCGTCCGGTGCCAAACAGCATGTAGAGCACGACAGGGAAGAAGGAGGTGTAGAGACCGTAAACAGGTGCTACTGAGGTCAGCAATGCAAAGGCCATCCCTGAGAGGAGACGAGATCACGAGAGAAGGTCAACGTTACTGTAAACCTCACGTGAGTCGTATCGATGGGGACCATACCTCTAACATGGCTAAACCAGCTAAACCCACACAAAGCTTGGCCATTAGTGAGAGAGAGAGAGAGAGCGCTGTCTGGCAAAGCTTTCCCACTGATGTCCAGCCACGATCCCCCTCCCCATTAGTTAGTTAGTTAGTTAGTTAGGGCTTTGGCTGCAGGTTACCAGGAGCTGAGGGGGAGGATTCCCTGGCCCCAGTGACTGGTCGGCCCTTCCAGGTCCTGCCGATGGCTGAGCCGGTCCGGGCTGAGCTGAGCTGTCATTCCGGAAAATCACCAGATTCCAAATCCGGACCTGATTTAAGAATTTAAGAATTCTCCCCCGTTCTGGTCGGTTTATGTTTGAGGTCAGTGACTCGGTCTCGGACTGGATGGAATTCAGGACTTCTGGGACCTGAATTCGCAATTAACAAAGGCCCACTCTGTCTGTCGATCTTCATGATGATTATCACACCTCGTCTGTTGGCTTCAAACCAACAACCTTCTGACTAAGAGGTGAGATCTCTGTCACTTTACAATCAAATCCTGCGCAGAGTTTTGTGGTGTTTGTCCTCCATCACACGTTAGGATTTTATTCATATCCAAAGTGAGGATTTACAACAACCTCAACAGCAATAGTCTGACTTTACACAGCGACCATCACACAGGACAATGTCTTGGAGCGACGTACAGGGTTGAGGGACACCGAAGAGGTTGGGGTGGGGGGGAGGAGTGAGGGAGGGAGGGAGGGAGGGAGTGAGGGAGGGGGAGTGTGGAGGTGACAATGGCACAGCTGAAGAGGTATTTCTCATGTGACATTTAAAGACGGAAAAATTATTAGTATTATTACGATTACAGTAAAACTCACCATAAGTCCGATCTGTATAAATCACATAATTGCCTGAGTGGTAAACCTGCCCTCAGTCCCGTTGAATTTCTCTATTATTTATAGGTAAATTTAAGTTAAGTTTCATATAACTCGTAACTTTGCATATTACAATGCAAAATGACGTTTGTGCAGTGGCTGCACATCAGGAGGACGTCCCAAACTGCTGCATATTCAATGATCGGTCCCAACTGATACGACTTTTGTGAGGTTTACTGAACCATCGTCATTATTACTGTCATTATTGCTATTGTTATTATTACGTTATTACAGTTTGAATCGTATTGTAAAGGTAATTTCTAAGCGGTTTTCAGTGATGCACAACCAGACCACTAACACTGTCACTGCTCTTTGAAACAGCCACCAACTAGTCCCACTCCCCCCGCTCTTACCCCAACTAGTCCCACTCACTCCCCCGCTCTTACCCCAACTAGTCCCGCTCACTCCCCCGCTCTTACCCCAACTAGTCCCACTCCCCCCGCTCTTACCCCAACTAGTCCCACTCACTCCCCCGCTCTTACCCCAACTAGTCCCGCTCACTCCCCCGCTCTTACCCCAACTAGTCCCACTCACTCCCCGGCTTTTACCCCAACTAGTCCCGCTCACTCCCCCGCTCTTACTCCAACTAGTCCCGCTCACTCCCCCGCTCTTACCCCAACTAGTCCCGCTCACTCCCCCCCCCGCTCTTACCCCAACTACTCCCACTCACTCCCCCTCTGTTACCCCAAAGCTCTGCACATTGTCCTTATCCAATTCCCTTTTGCAAGCGATTATCAAATCTGCTCCCACCAGCCTTTCAGTTCAGGCAGTGAGTTCCAGACCGTAACAATTCTCTGAGTAAAACACATGTATAATAATAATTATGAATTCATATCATTGATGATGATGATGATGATGATGATTTCTGTACCTTGTGGGATGTGGACGATGCCCACAGTCAGGCCTGCGACTATATCCCCGAGGAGGCAGGTACGGAGCTGGTAATCAGGGAGCCAGGCCAGGGGAGGGAATCGCTCAATCAGGTAACCTCTCCCAGAGCAGCTCAACCACAGCCTCCGCCACAATCCTTGCTCTGCCCGGCTCCCCTTCTCCTCACTGACGCTTCCAAAACTCCGCTCAAACTGGTCCTGGGTGTAAACGGATCGGGAGAGCTTCACCCCACGCATGCTCGACTCTGCCCGGGGGCTAAGTGGGGGGTTGGTGGGTGGGATGGGGAGGTGGGGTGACAGAGAGGGAGACTTAGGGAGTGTGTGTGTGAGTGAGTGAATGTGTGTGTGGGTGTGAATGCGTGTGTCAGTGAGTGTGTATGAGTGTGTCAGTCAATCAATCAGTCAGTCAGTCAGTCAGTCTGTGTGTGTGTGTCAGTCAGTCAGTGAGTGTGAGTGTGAGTCAGTCGGTCAGTCGGTGTGTGTGTATAAGTGTCTCCAAGCTATTGGTTTCCTGAATGGCTGAGCGCTCTAAGCAAACACAGAGCTACAGAGAGGTTTCCTGATTGTGTTTCACCAAAGCCGCCGCATTCCTGGTATCTGACTGGACTCCGAGTTAGTGGAGAGGGTGTATACTGCGGAGGAAAGTTCTGCCTCAAAGTTAGCCAGAGCCCCACCCCAACACCGTAACCATCTCTCTCACTCACTCGCTCGCTCTAAATCACAGCTTAACATGGAGTAATCCCTCCCCAAATCCCCCACCTACCCTCCGCCCTCCCTCCCTCCCTCCCTCTCTCTCTCTCTCGCTCGCTCTCCCCTCTCCCCCCCCCCAGTCCCCCCACCCTCAGAATAATCTGGCCGCTAACTTGTTGTAAATGACAAGTTAATGAAACGACCTTTCAGCTGCACAGGTGAGCGGCTGAGAGGTTGGTTTGGCAAAAGCTTAAAGGACAAAAACTCTGGAACGTAGACAATACTTCACTGAGGGTGAGAGAGAAAGAGAGGGGGAGAGAGAGAGAGAGAGAAATACATAATAATAATCATTGCATTTGACATAGCCTTATCACGTCTTTGAGAAGTCTTAAAGCGCTTCAGAATATACTGTAGAATATAAGTGTAGTGACTATATTTTGTGGGCGAAACGCAGCAGCCAATTGCGCCCAACGACGTCCCCACAAACAGTCGTGGATTGAAGTCGTGGATTGAAGTGACCAAATTATTATATTATGATATTATATTATTATTATATTTCATTAATTTTTTGGAGGGATTATTAGCCCCTGGAAAGCGAGCGGCCAATGGACTAACAAATGGGCTCCTATTTAGTGCTACATAACCAGAGGCGTGTATGTGTGCGTGTCTGTGTGTGTGTGCGCGTGGCTGTGTGTGTGTGTGTGCGTGTCTGTGTGTGCGTGTGTGTGCATGTGTGCGTGTCTGTGTGTGTGCGTGTCTGTGTGTTCGTGTCTGTGTCTGTGTGTGTGTGTGCGTGTCTGTGTGTGTGTGTGTCTGTGTGTGCGTGTCTGTGTGTGTGTGTGTGCGTGTCTGTGTGTGTGTGTGGTGTGTGCGTGTCTGTGTGTGTGTGTGCGTGTCTGTGTGTGCGTGTCTGTGTGTGTGTGTCTGTGTGTGCGTGTCTGTGTCTGTGTGTGCATGTCTGTGTGTGTGTGTCTGTGTGTGTGTGTGTGTGCGTGTCTGTGTGTGCGTGTCTGTGTGCGTGTCTGTGTCTGTGTGTGTGTGTGTAGAGTAAGGGAAACTTGCCTAAGGTTCTGCCCTGACCTGGTGCGGTGGGGGAATCGAACCCGAGTCCTCTCACTTGCGAGGCGAGTGGCTCTATCTACTGAGCTACAGCGACTGCCCGCGGTAAGAGCTGGTGGTCTGTGTCCTCGTGGTCGGGGGGGTGGGGGGGCGCTGTGAGGTGAGGGTGGGTGCGTTACCTGAGCCAGAGCGCCAGTCTCTCTCTGTCTCGCTCTCGCGCCGCCTCCTGGGCCGGTGGCCGCCTGCATTGTGAAGGGGTTAAGCGGCACTTTTCTACACCTTATTGTCTCTGCGTTTGAAGTGGTTCTGATGACCTGAATCTGACCCACATTGTGAGAGTATTTTTATGGCTCCTCTTGAGGAATGGTCTCCCCATCCCTCCCCCCTACCCGCCCGGCGCAGACAATGGGCAGCCAAAACCATCTGGAGTGTGTCGTTACCGGAAGCCATGGCCGGCGGAGTCTGGGGACCTCCGCGACTTGAAATTCCACCTCGTCTTAGCCTCCAGCACTTTCTCTCTCTCTCTCTCTCTCTCTCTCTCTCGCGCTCTCTCTATACGCCGCGCGGAATTGTGCAGAATAATATCACTGCTACTGATAATCATCCTCGCATTTGACACAGCGCCTTATCACGTCACGTCGTTGCCGCGTCTCAAAGGCTATATTTGTAAGGTGTAGTGACTGTATGTTCTGCGGGCGAAACTCGGTAGACAATTTGCGCTCGACAGCGTCCCCGTTTGAGTAATTGAGTGACCTTTTTTTTCTTATTCTTTTTGGAGGGATTATTAGCCCCGGAAAGCGATCTGTCAATCCACTGACAACCGGGTTCCTACTCACTGCGATGTGAGTGCTCTAACCACAAGGCTACAGGACTCTACTCTAAGGGCTGTTGATGACAGGGTCTCGACAATGTATCAAGCGTAATGATTATTATTATCGTATAATATTATACATTATTATACATTACACAGAGCCGCGGGGAGAGAGGAAACATGCCTAAGGTTTCTCTCTGCCCGGGAAGGATTATTATTAACATTAATATTATCGATGCACTTCACAGTAAATCCTGAGAAGCGTTTTGAGATGTCCTTCGACCATAAACCGGGCTGTATCAAATGCCGATGGTTGTAGGATTTACCGTGATTGAGGCTGTTGTGGTTTGGCAGATAAAGTGTCCCCTTTGATGGTAGGTAAAGGGTTAATGCCCGCAGCCCACCGGGGATGGGGTGGGGAGGAAGTCAAGAGGAGACGGGACAGGGAGGGAGAAACTCGTATCCTCTGCTCAAGACATTAAATAATTGCGTCATTTTGCTCAATAGACTCAAGTCCACATTGGGAGTGTGAGGGAGACCGAACTCTACACATTAACCCTTTACAGACACAACATATATTTTGTTCCTTTAATCGTCCTATTGTTATTGTGGAGCTCACAGTCTAGAATGACTCTCCAGCCCAGCGCTGGGGGCGGGCGGGGGGAGAGAGAGAGAGAGAGAGAGAGAGAGAGCGCTGCATTGGAGACTCCGCCCTTCAGATGAGATATTAAACCTCACTCCCCGTCTGTGCCCTGATAATAAATTAATCCACGACTGTTTGTGGGGCGCTGCTGCGCGCAATTGGCTGCCGCGTTTCGCCCACAAAATCTCCAATTACCCGCCTTCGCCCCGTATCCCTCGATCCCCTGACCTGACAACCATCTCCCCACCTCAGTCTTGGAGATGCGAATGGATCCAGACAGAATCCGCAGCCTTTCGGGAGAGAGAAAGAGAGAGAGAGAGAGTTCCAGATTCCCACGAGCCTTTGCGTGAAAACCTGCCCCTGATTTCACTCCTAAATGTCCTGGCTCTAATTTCAAGATGATGCCCACCTCGTTCTGGGTTTCCCCCCCACTCCCACCCCTCCACCTCTCCCCGGAGGCTTGCGACTCGCGGGCTCAGACTGTCCTGTGAAAGTGGGATTACATGTTCGATCATCGATGAGGGGAAGTGTTGGGGTTGTGGTGGTGTCTCCTGAGCTGTGTTTATTTACACCAGGCTTTGGCGATGGGCAGGCAACGAACCATCAGGCTCTCGTCTCCTCCTGAGCGAATCTTTAGTGGAAACACTTGATGGAGTCCCTGTAGCTCAGTGGTTAGAGCCCTTGTCTCGCAAGCAAGAGGACCCGGCTTCGATTCCCGGCCGATCAGGGCAAAAGATTAGGCACGTTTCCGACAATACAACTCCCCCCCACTCCCCAGCGCTGCGTTGGAGCATCAACTGTGTGATTCCAAGTCCCGATGTGAGGGGCTTGAACCCACAACCTCCTGCCACGGAGCCGGGCTGAGCATGTGGGTAAATCCAGTGAAAGATTAGAAAATCAGAGGCTCGAAGGGTCGAATGACCTATTCCTTCTCCTACATGTTATGTTATGTTAGAGCGCTTTGAGATGTCGTCCCAAAGTGAAAGACAAATGTCAGGAATATTGTTTTTTTTATTGTTATAGCGACACGCACTCCATTACCCTGAGAGAGAGAGAGAGAGAGACAGCGAGACAGAGAGAGAGAGAAAAACAGAGACAGAGCCAAAGCCTAAACATCATTGGAAATGGAATGGGCGTATATTCTGCAGATTGTTCAGACATACCTGCCCAGTGTCGGACTGTTCAATAGTCCATTGTCTCCGCACAGAATGGGCTTTTGTGCTGGAGCTTTCATTCTCTCGAAGGCATTGAATATATTTTTCTTTGAAAAGACGTGCTGTTCATCATGGTCAAACAGGGATCTTTCCCCCCCCCCGCCCCCCTCTTCTCTCTCCCTCTCTCTCTCCACCTCTCCCCCTCGTCCGTTTCTCCAAAGACTCATGACTCTGAGGTCGTAGGGAGAAAGTGCTCAGGGCTCGGGGGCAGCAGCAGCAATAATAATAATAATAATAAATCTCGCCTTATCATGTCGTTGAGACGTCTCAGAGCGCTTCACGGGAAAGTGTAGCGACTGTGTATTTTGTGGGCGAATCGCAGCAGCCAATTGCGCCGAGCGAAGTCCCCGCAAACAGTGGATTGAGTGACCACGTTTTTTTGGGCGGGATTGTTACCCCTGGAAAAGCGATCCGCCAATCGACTAACAACACCACGACTAACAATGCAATCAACTCGCAGCCTGGTACAGGGCAGCTGTAGGGGGGGGCACGTCTGAGGTGAGAACTTTACTCTGTCACAAACTGACCCGGGAGTGTGGACGGACGCACAGTGTAGAGGGAGCGTTACTGTGTCTCTAACGCTGACCGGGGAGTGCGGACACACAGTGTAGAGGAGCGTTACTGCGTCTCTAACCCTGACCCGGGAGTGCGGACGGACGCATAGTGTAGAGGAGCGTTACTGTGTCTCTAACGCTGACCGGGGAGTGCGGACGGACTCTGTGTAGGTTCCTAATCCTGTGATGTGCTATTTGCCTCCGGGGATTATCCCTTAAATTTTGCAAAATAAAAATTAATTGCTGCTAAAAAGAAACCCCCGAAAGGTTTTGTGTAACTCTTGTGGATGGACAGAGA